ATATATATATATATATACACACACACATGTGTATATACATATACACACACGTGTATATATGTTCATAATAATATAATTACTTGGTCAAACGACTGTATATATAATTATATATATTTGGCCTCAAACATTTGATTGTTGTACATGATTAATGTTTTGCATGGGTGTGTTCTGCACGTGTTAAAATCCTGCTTTTGAAATTTCAACAAGGGGTTGGCTTGAAACACAGCAATGAAGGCTACTTATGGGACAGATCTGGTTGGTAGGCCATAGACTGAGGAAGTCCTCTGGATGGGGGAAGAAACTTTTCTCTTAAAGAAACTGGTCACGATGACATGATTTAAGCTTTTTTGCTGTCATAGTGGTAAAGTTTTTTAAAAACATGTCTAACACTTTGAGTACGACACTAGTCAAGTGGTTCCCAGCCCTGGTCCTCGAGGAACACAATCCTGCATGTTTTAGTTGCTTCTCTGCTCCAACACACCTGATTCAGTGGTTTAATGACTTCTTCAAGTTCTACAGAAACCTGGTAATCACCCATTCACTCAAATCAGGAGTGTCACATCGAGGAAATGACTAAAACATGCAGGTTGGTGTTCCTGAAGGACCAGGGTTACACCACAGCAAATGTAGACTCAGTATCTGTAAACTGGCTGTTGGAGCCATTTCTCTGTTAAAAGCAGGTGATGGCGACCATCTTGAATGGGTTTTACTCCAAAAATGAATCTGTTGTAGATTTGCATCAGATGATTGAGCTTCATGTCCGCTGGTTTAGGAGATGTTTTGCTAGTTACATGGCAGTGAGTGATAATGGACCCAAACAAAGCAGCCATCTGATATCTAAGTGGTATAAAAAAAGACTCACTTGGTCAAACTGTAAGTTTAATATGTTTGAGGTTTTTTATGACAAAATTTTCCTCTTTTAATGTTTGTTTGTTGCCTGCTGCAGGTAGGATGGTGACTACTCGTCACGTTACTCCTGTCATAAACACTCAATTAACACATCATTGAAATGATTGTAAAAGTACATGTTCAGTGATAAGTGGTATATATGTAGTTTCTTGCGCTCACCAAAATAATCCATGTTTTTGTCTTTATTTTTTACAGATGCAACAACAGACAGTGCTTTTGAGAAGAACGGGATTTTGACAATGACTTTGGATGCTTTCTTGACCAAGTCGCCAACTGAAAAATTTACCATCTGACTTTCAAATTGAAAAATGTCAGATTGGTGGGACTCATGTTTACTAATTTATACATGGAACAATCTTAACTTCTCTTAGACGTAAGGGGAACCCAGCAGCTGGTATTGCTTATTTAAAATACTTGATATAAGAGTTGGCAACGTTTTGTTCACACAACTCAACTTTTTTGTAAGCATTGATATTGGTTTCTTTTTTTTGACGAGGTTTTTGTTCACGTTAACTCTATGATTCAGTTTTTGAATAGAAAGGTTATATTCACCAATATTCTGGCAGCTGTGCTGTTTTTTGCATTTATACTGTAATTTTAGTGTATATTTTGTAAATTTAACTAATTTATTCTTCAAAACAATTCTTACTTTACACTTAAGAAGCTCAGCTAGTGTTTCCTTGTGTTGTATATTTAAATACTACAACTTTTCAGTATTTTCTAACTCAAGTGCATTATTAAACGCTATTTTTAAAAGAGTGAATATCTTGAGTTTTTATTACTGGACGTTTTTATTTGAGACCAACTTGTCTGCTCTGTTAGTTTGTGATGTAAATACTGTCAAAATGTTTGAGTTTTCTGTCTGCTAATTGTTTTCTAGACATCTAAGATAAGATAAAACTTTTATTGTCCACCAACGTGGAAATTTTCTTTCATCTCCAACTATAAAATAAAACACATTCATACGATCAAAATATCAACAATTTGTGCATAGAATGAAACACTGCATACCACAGGTAAATGTTACAGGTGAAGTCGGAATAAATGACTTCTTATAGGTGACCTGACTGACCATTATTGGACTTCTTATAGATGTTCTTCATTGCCTGAGGGACCCTATAACACCTTCCTGAGCTCAGGTTCAAACTGAAGAAAAAGATGCTATCTGCTAAAATACCATACCATTTTATTTATAGAGCACTTAAAACAGCAACAAGGCCAACCAAAAATATTCCTTGCTGTCTTCTGTGTTCGTTCTGCAAACAGTTGAGACAGCTTTTTGTGGTTTTCCCACTACCTGCCACTGCCAATTATTAAAAGTTTGTGTTTTAGTCTACAGCTCAGATGACCATACCAGTCAGGGAGTTGAAAAGTGAGTTGAAAAGTTAAAACACTTAACAATTGCCTTGTAGACGAGCTCTAGGTCAGGGCTATTCAACAAAACTGCTCAGGGGGCCACAGTTTGAAAGCCAGCAGCTCGGGCCGGAAATCCAGTGATTAAAGTCATCATGTATACAGTATAAACCCAAGTATTACGATGATTTGTCACCTTTTAAATTTGTTTATTTTATTGCATTGAATCAACATAACCCTATATATATATATATATATATATATATATATATATATATATATATACACACACATTTTTTTTAAATCAGGTCATTGGGCCGGATTGCCCCTGTTGAATAGCCCTGCTTTAGAGTTTGCTGACTAACCCCAAGACCATTAGTCTTCTTAAAAGATAGTTTCTGTGAGCATTTCTTAAATATATACTCTGTGTTTTCAGCAAAGGTGAGCTGACTGTCCAGGTATGACCCTAGGTATTTGAAATCTGCCACAGTTAAAACAAGTTCACTTAAAGGTCTTGTTTAGGGCATATAATTAATTATTTTGTCTTGGCTAAACTAATATCTAGTGTACTCTGACGGCACCATGTCTCCAGGGCCTTATGTAAGATAAATAAGAAACTTCACCTGTGGGCTTGTTTTCCGTTAAAAGTCCAGCCAGAGCCATGTCATCGGCATATTTAATTAAAATGCAGCTCTGGTCATTTTTTACAAATTAATTTGTAAAAAAGAGAATAACACGAGTGAGAACACAACCTTGAGGTGAGGGCAACCAGTGCTCACGGTGAGCACATGAGACGTGTTACCACCACCACAGACCCTCTGTGGACAACATGATAGGAAATCTCTGATACAGAGAACCAGGCCTCAGTGAACCTCTTTAAAAGAATATTAGCTTTCACTTGAGTTAAAAGCAGAACTAAAATCTACAAACAAAATTCTTAGAAAACTTTTGGGGTTCATCAAGTGTTTTGTAACTTCAGCAGAGTCAACACAGCATCATCAGGGCTTCTGTATGCAAATTGGAGTGGATCTAAAGCAGAGGCCACAAAATTGACCAGATGACTGAAAAGAACCCGCTCCATAGTTTTACGTAATATGGAAGTTATGGCAATAGGCCTAAAATCATTAAGTGCAGCAACACTCTGACACTGGCCTTATTATTGAAAATGTCCATGCTTTTGGAACTTTTCTCAAATTGATAAGGTACTGGAATAGCTGTGTAAAGAAACCTTTCAATTGGGCAGCATAGTCTTTTAACAGATTGGCTTTAAGGCCATCAAGGCCAGTAGCCTTGTTTGGTTTTAATTTAAAGAGGCTTGTTGCAACATCATGCTCACTGATGGCTATTGGAGTCTCCAAAGGAAGGTTCTTACACAATTCATCACTTTCTACCTTACAGTCCATGGTGTCAAATCTACAATAAAATTCATTCAGTTTAAAGTTTGCATTAGAATATTCAGTCCTTCCCAGCCTGTCTTATGTTACCTGAAATGAATCTTCCCTTTATTTTATTTTTAAACTCAATTTTAGCCTTTAAAATCTCCCCCGTTAACTGTCTCCTTTTCTCACACAGCAAATCCGTATCTCCAGCGTAGTGTCGTAATTAGAGGTTTTGGAGGCAGAACCCAATGGTGCAGGCAGGACTCGGAGACTTGGTAAAATAAATACTTTTAATAATACAAAATAATGAAGCTGTCAAGGCAGCAAAACTCACACTCTTGGAAGACATGTAAAAAATCACTATGAAAATGTAGGAACTCAGGAGGGGAAATCAGACGATGCCCAGACAATGAATAACACCAAGACACATACTTCTATACAAACACTGACAAGGACTAAACACAAAACACCTGTCAGGCTCACAGGTGTGGGAAAGGGGAAGTCACACAAGAGGAAACGGGACAGAGACACACCACTAGGGGCACAATCACCACATTACCCCCTCTTTAAAAGGAGGTCTCCAGATGTCCCAAAAAACCCTGCCCCCACTGAAGCACTGGAAGATGGGGCATTGGGACCAGCCCCCATTAAAGCATAGGAAGGAGGTAGAGTGTTGGCTCCCACCCACACTGAGACACTGGAAGGTGGGGTGTTGTGGGTTTCACCCACCATTCTGTTGTCAGGAAACTTGGGAACCATAGGAGGTCCAGAACCCACACCAGGCGAGGATTAGAGACAGGAGTCATCCTGGACCCTCTCTGAAACGCACGGAGCAGGTGGTTTGTGTGGGTTCTGAGGCAGCACAGTAGAGCTGGAGAGAGATGAGTGTTTAAACTCACTTCACACATCAACAATGTCACTCGGTCTGCCTATTTCCATCTCAGAAATATTAACCGTCTCCGCCCTTCTCTCACACCCCGCTCCACAGCCATCCTTGTTCACAGTCTTGTGACTTCTCGGATTGACTACTGCAACTCCCTTCTTTATGGCCTCCCCAACAAATCTCTCCAGAAGCTACAATTAGTCCAGAACTCAGCTGCCCGTGTCATAACTCAAACCTCCTCCTATAACCACATCACTCCAGTCCTGCAGCAGCTCCACTGGCTCCCGGTTAAATCACGCATCGTCTTCAAAATTCTTCTTCTCACTTTCAAAGCTATCCACAACCTTGCCCCTCCGTACCTATCTGACCTCCTACACATCTCCATCCCCTCTCGCTCTCTCAGATCCTCCTCTTCACTACACCTCCATGTACTCTCTGCCCGCCTCTCCACCATGGGCAGCAGGGCCTTCACCTGCTCTGCCCCTCATCTCTGGAACTCTCTACCCCCTGACTTAAGAAACACCACCTCCCTTTTTATACCATACCATACCATACCATACCAATTTATTTCTATAGCACTTAAAACGGCAACAAGGCCAACCAAAGTGCTGTACAAAAGAACACAAACATGCACAGCAGACAGGAAAACATAAAATAGAAATACAGATACAAATAGCAGCAGAAGCTAACTAAAATGGCCAACAGAGTAGAGAACAGACCGGGCCAAAACAAATCACACCGTGTTAAAGGCAAGCGAATAGAAGTGGGTCTTCAAGCGAGACTTAAAGACTGAGAGTGTGGGAGCCTGCCGGACACTCATTCCACAGTCGTGGACCTGCAACAGAGAAAGCCCTGTCACCCCTGAGCTTACGACGGGTTTCTGGGACTGAGAGAAGCATCTGGTCTGCTGACCTCAGAGCGCGGTGGGACATATGGCTGCAGAAGATCAGTGAGATAGGATGGGGCGGAACTGTTCAGTGATTTAAAAACATACATGAGAATTTTGAAATGGATCCGAAGGTGAATGGGTAGCCAGTGCAGGGAGGCCAAAACTGGCGTGATGTGCTCTCTATAGCCTGTACCAGTTAAAAATCGGGCTGCAGCATTTTGGACCAGTTGTAGACGAGCAATGGAGGACTGACTGATTCCAAACAGAAGTGAATTGCAGTAATCAAGCCTAGATGTTATGAAGGCGTGGATCACTGTCTCAAGGTTCTTTTTGGAGAGTATAGGCTTCAGCTTAGACAGCCGTCTCAGCTGAAAAAAACAGGATTTTACCATCATGTTTACGTGACTGTTGAGTTTTAAGGACGGGTCCATTATCACCCCCAGATTAGTGACCTTTTGTTTCTCTAGCGGGGCTAGAGAGAAAAGGTCAATGTCATGGTTCATGAGTGAGCCACTGGGATGGAACAGCATGACTTCAGACTTCTTCTCATTGAAGCTTAAGAAGTCTAAAGCCATCCAGTCCCGGATGTCAGCCAGGCAGTCAAGAAGAGGCTGAATAGAGCGTGTGCCTCTGTGCCTCAGGGGGAAGTAAATTTGGCAATCATCGGTGTAGAAATGAAAGGGTATGTCGTGTTTGCGGAAGATAGCACCTAGTGGCAGCAGGTATAAAGAAAAGAGAAGGGGACCGAGGATGGACCCCTGCGGTACCCCCCACTAGAGCGCTGTCGATGCCAAACTAGAATCTTTGATATTGACACAGAAGGTTCTGTCAGATAGGTAGGACCCAAACCATTTAAGGGCTGACCCTGTGATGCCCACCCACTGCTCCAGTCTAGAAATGAGGATCT